CCCCAAAACCCCAAAACCCCAAAACCCCAAAACCCCAAAACCCCTTATTTCTTATAATTAATTGAATTCAACTAAATAGTAAAAGATGGAATCTAATGTTGAAAGAAAATTCATTGTGAGAACAATGGATGGAAAGTCTGTAGAATTCACAACAAGTCATAATATTTCAGTCCCAGATTTGAAGAAATTGATCGAAGAGAAAATGGATGTTCCAACCCATAGACAACGGCTCATTTACAAATCTAAGCTTTTGAAGGATGACCAAACCCTTGATGAACATATCAAGAAAGATAATGAAGTTCTCCATATGATGGCAATGTCAGAAACTCAAGCAAGAGATAGAGCCCAAGCTCAAGAAAGGAGAAACACAGCAGAAAATCAAAATAATCAGCAGCAACAACAGCAAATGCAAAACAATCCTTTCGGTATGATCAATGCCGCATTTGGAAATATTTTTGGAGGTGGAAATCAGCCAGCAGGAGCAGGAGGACAGCTCCCCCAGATGAATTTCCAGCAGCTAGATTTAAGTCAACTTTTAGGTGGGCTGAGACCTCCTCAGCAAAATCAGCCAGCTGCTCAAAGTAATGCAAGAGCTCAGTCAAATCCACCTGTTGCGCAACCTCAAACACGTGTTAGTCAGACTTCTTCAAATGCTCCAGCTTCTTCTAATGCTCCTACAGCATCAACCCAGCCATCATCTACTCATAACGTTAGAGTTACTAGTAGAGGAAGAGCAACTTCTAGGAGTGCTGAAGAGACTAAAGAAGGAAGATCAGTAAGTGGTGCTAGAACGACAGAGATCTCATTACCCCACGAGCATGTGTATAACATGAATATGATCTGTAATGAGTTGATGGGTCCTGGGTCTGCGTTCCCAGGCCCTCCTCTTCCTCCAACAGGAATCCCAAGAACTCCGGCAGTGATACTCGGTAGTTATCTAGTCTCTTTACAATTCGCAATGCAAAGACTCAATACCTTTATTTGGAGAGCAGGAGAACTTCTTCAAAGAGAAAGAAATTTAGCAAATCCTGAAGAAAGAGCAGAAGCCCAATTAATGATTAACCAAACTGGAAGAGCAATGGAAGAACTTTCTAGAGCATTGCTTTTATCTTCACACTATTACAGAGATTTATCTTTAAGTGAAATTCCAGGACATTATAGAGTGAATAATCATCCAAGCCAAGATTTTGTAGAAATGAATAGAAACTTTAATGAGTCCAGCTTTAGAAGGAGGAATGGTGCACCAGTTGTTACTTCAGCACAAGCACCTCCTACTTCTACTCAAAATGCAGCTTCTTCCACCGCAAGTAGTTCTCAGGTAAACACTACCTCCTCAGCTTCTGCTAGCTCTCAACAAACTACAGCTACAGGAAGGTCACAAGTGACAGGATCAGCTAGAACTCCAGCTAATACGACTTCTTCAACTCGTGTTGAAGCAAGTGCACTTTCTTCTACAAGAGCTCAAGCAAGCAATGCTTCTAGTTCTTCTCAGACTACTTCTTCTAGACCAAGTGCAGCTCACACAAATGCTCGAGTTAATGTTCCAAATATTGGAGCTCTTTTCGGAGCTGGTGCTCAGCCAGGACAGCCAGGGCAACCAGGAGGAAACCCATTCGGAGGATTATTGCAAAACTTGATGTCTCCAGATGGAATGAATAATATGATGAGAATGGCAGGAAATTTGACTCAGCAATTCCAACAAAATGCTTCTAATGCTCAGCAGAATCAACCCCAGCCACCTTCACAAGTTCCAAGATCGAATCCTTCTGCTCAGCCTCAAGCTCCACAAAGAGATGCTCCAGCATCAGAGGAAGAAAATAAAGCCCAGAATAGACAACAAGTTTTGAATAACAGAATGATGAATGTAATGAACCAATTCTCGAACCTTCCAAATAACCCATTCGGTGAAGAATTCTCAAATACTCTCACTAATCTGATGGGACAAGCAACAGGAGGAGCTGATATCTTTAACATGACTATTAGACAGATAAGTGAGCAAGAAGGCTCACAAGAACTGCCTACAAATATCTTTACTATTATAATTCTTGACTGAACCTTGCAAGATATCCTTGCTATTTTCTCTGGAAATTACGAAATAGTGAAGAATCTTCACCCAAAAATGAAAGAAGTGCTTCTCAATAATTATATGAATAATGAGGATACTCCTGAGTCTAGGGATCAAGCAGTTACAAAGATAAACTCCGAGCTAAGTGGATTCTTCGAGACACCTGAATCAATGAGGCAAGACATTGTTGCAGGAAAGGATCCTAAGAAAACCATTATGGAGACAAGCAAGAAACATATCCGCAAACTTATCAATATCATTCTAGATATAGAAGACACTGAGGAGAATTCGGCTACTTTCATGAAAAGGTTTACCAAAGCAGCTAGGTGGTGGACAGGAGAGATCATAGATAATCTCAAACCATGCTTTAAAATGGGTCTTCCAGACGTCCTTAGATACTTTAGAGGTAATATTGAACAAAAGATTAGTTCCCTAGAGGGTTCAAACATTCCATTCGTAATTGGTCTAATGACCGACGGCTTAATGAACTTCTTAACCTCAGCTTATGGTAATTACACTAAAGACAAAGAAAGAGAAGATAGAGCTGAGGCAAGAGAGCAAGGAATTACACTTGAAGAACTTTATGCTAGAAGAAGAACTCCAACAGAGTCAGCTAAAGAAGAAGAACCATCTAAAGAAGAAGAGCCAGCTCCAAAAGAGGAAACTAAAGAAACTACCCCTCAATCACAGAAAGAAGAGGAGAAAAAGAGTAGTGAAGAACCAATTATTCAAGAAGAACCTGTAACTTCTAAAACTGTGACAAGAAAATTAGCAAGTTCATCACATGCTACTCCATTGCAGACTAGTCAGGCCTCTCAGGAAGAGCAAAAAGAACCAGAAGAAAAAGACCCTGAGATTAAAGATTTGCTAGAGAAAATGGAAGAATACCTAATAGGTAATCCTCCACCGATAAGACCTCTGAGCAGAGCATACCAAGCCCTTGATGCCTTTAATGATCGGAACATTGATACTTCAAACCCGGTGACTAAAAGAGGGGAATTGAAGCAGAACGCTAAGAATGATGCTGAGTCAATCTTAAGGACAGCTCTTAAAAACTGTGGGTTCAAGTCTTCAACTATTGAAGCTAACTTAAAAGACGTAGAGATTCCTGAAGATCTAGTAAACAAGTACAAAGAAGTTGTTAAGGAAGAAATTCAGGCAAGAAAAGCAGATACTGAGTGTAATTACCACAAAGATTCCTAAGCAGGAGACATAATTTGATGAAAAATGGTATTTAATTCCTATTTTTCTTTTAAATGATCAGTGAAATAATCCTTCAATGCTTCTAGATTATTCCGGGGTTTTGGGGTTTTGGGGTTTTGGGGTTTTGGGGTTTTGGGG